GACTACAAAAGGACCAGACCAGACGTAACCAGAACGGAGGAGATGAATCAAAAGTACTGGCTGCACAGAGTGCTACATGGGATATGATGAGGGGTTATGTTATTTCATAAGATGGAGATAATGAGGTTTCTTACTGGGCGTGATCGATTTATTAACACCTGAGTGGTTAAGGAGCGACTGCCTGTTGTAGTTCCATGACATGGCGATGAGCAGAAGTCATTTCGGGGCGTGACAGTGTTTCCCGGTTATTAGTGGCTGCTTTTTAGCGCGAAGCCACTTGGACTTACGGTGTCCTTTATGATCGAAGCGCTCACTGGGCTTATGTTCTCCATAGTAGTGATTCCGTAGTCGATATCTCGAACCTGAGCTGTTGGCTGCTGCTGCCGCTGCTCACATAGACGTAGATAGGTGATCTAATTTGAACTGAGACTTTGAAACGAGCAGGCCGTGCCCTCACGATTGATTATATTGTATAACACTCGACAAGCACTTCACAGGGAATGCTGAGTAGCTCATGTAGGAATGTCAGCTAGGGATTCTTTATACATATGGGTTGTGGGAGGTGTTGATGACTAAATGATTACAAGGTCTTCTCGTTTCCTGCTCGTTGCCTGCGTGCTCAACTGTTGGGAATGCTCACGAACGCTTTTTCTGCTCACAGGAGGAGGAGGACGATGAGTGTTTATCTGTTGATTGTAAAGCTTACCCACACATGCAAGGTGCAGAGAACGAGAAGTCGGAGGGTGGAGCTAGTTTTGCCTTGAAGTTAGACAAACCAAATAATGGTTGTCCTATTGTTGTTGAAAATACGAATCAACCCCGACAAATGCTCGTTGAGGTTAGTCCTCTTAACCTGATATTGAATTACGTGGTGAACGTTGCCTCTATGCTCGGAACATGTGATCTGAGATTATGGCCATCATGGACTAAGTTTCTTTTTCTTGCTTGTGCAGATGTTGTGTGAAGAGCGAGGCCTTTTCCTGGAAATTGCGGATACAGTAAGAGGGCTCGGCCTTACAATCTTGAAGGGTGCAATGGAGAGTCGCAGCGGGAAGACTTGGGCTCGTTTCGTCGTTGAGGTACGGTTCTATTGAAATATAGGTCTCGGTCGCTACTTAATAAGTAGAACATACATGTTAGCTTCTCAACCTCGGTCATTCTAGACAGCATGCGGCAGTGTCAGCACTTGCAAATTAGTTGCCCTAGTTGATTAAGATCTTTGCTGTTCTCAAACACATTCACGGTCCCCTTTTCCTTCTTGGCTACAACCGATAGGAGGAAATATGAGATTGATTTCTTGATTGGTTCTGTCGTTTATGTGTTCTGTGCAGGCTACCTCACGTGACATCCACCGGGTAGAGGTACTATGGTATCTCATGCAGCTATTACAGCCAACGAGTGCGCTACTGCCAAGTTACGGTAGACCTTCAAACTATGCAGATCCGGGTTGCTTATATGGTGCGGCTCATGACAGCACATCAGGCAGTTTGACGTCGTCGTTCCCTCATATGCTCCGGCCTTCTGTACCTCTCCAGATGACAGCCCGATGACAGTCATTGACATCTGTTCTTCACCCCGAAGACTTTCCTTGTTCACCGAAAGGGGTGCAGCGAGTGGGCCAAAGGTCTGCCATGATTGGCATCCATCAAGTGATTGCTCTTGAATTCTTTTCTCACCGTTTTCTCCTCACGGATCATAGGATAATTTTGTTTTGAGATTCTGGTTTAAGGCGAATGTGCAGACAGAAGCCAGACCTCCAGCTTTGTGTTGAGGAAATTTCAGTCAGCCCAAGGCTGGTACATTTTGGGTTGTTAGCTTACACACGTCTACAAGAATTCCCGTAATTTAGATGAAGCCGCTAGGGCTTCATGAGCAGGTTTTGACTTACAACTCTCCAAGGAGGGATAGCAGGATGCTGCTATTGCCATATTTTTTAGTGTTATTTACATGAAGAAGTGGTGAGAGAGGAATGTTAAGTGGCAGTCACAACTGGTTGCTTGCGGAAGTTGTAAGAGATGTACGGTGAAGAAGTAAATTCGAAGTTGAACTCTTAGCGAGGAGCCCATCCCAAAGAGTGGTGTGATTGTGAATTCACCGATATATGTGTTAAATGCTGGAGTGTGGTCATGCATGAGCTGATGATAGGACCACGAAGAAATTACTGAAAAGTGCTGTCCATGCAAATCAACTGCGAAGTGAAACACACCTTGCTCCAGGATACTCTTTGTCGAGTCTCAAGGTCGGGTGGTAAATTTTCAATATCCAGAACACGGTTCACCATCCATTCTCAGAACAGCGAAATGAAATTGGAGTATACTTGTATATCTCGAAAGGGAAATTGAATTGTTCTACATAAGGTTGGCAGCATTAGCAGGACGATAAATGTACATCACACCCAATTCATGCAGTCAAAGAGCCCCACTTACCCTCAATCGCTCGGAACTGTAGTGGCAGCCAACATTTGAACATTTTGGTATTCTGAACTCTGAAGCAGTAGTTGATTGGGATGTCTTTCAATAGCATAGCCAGATGCTCTATAGACTCTCCTGGATTAGCCGCTACTCCACATCACCGGCAGTTGGGCTATGAGCAGCAACACAAGTCAGAATTCTCTAGATATCACTCTCTATATATAGATAGCTCTATATATCGCTAAGGTCCGAGCGCTTAAGGAGAAAACTGAGATAAAAATTTGACGGTAGTTAAAAGTCCGCTTACCAAGTCCGTTTAAAGTCTTAATAGGGGACAAAGTATAATAAGAAAAGGGATGGGAAGACCCCATCAAAGCGTAGTCCGTTTAAAGTCATAATATGACATCGTAATATTGAAATGGCTCGGTGAATAGAACGATCCCCCAATGAGCTGGATTTACACAATTTATCAACAACTTTTTTGGCACATTATGTTATAATCTGCACAAATGTATCATTCCATCTTGGACCAATCTCAACCAATGGAATAAAAGCAAGATTCAATGTCGTGGTAATTCCGATCCAACAAGCTTGATCCATAGGGAGAGGCACGTAGTGCGAAGATCAGGCATGCGCGGCACGTAACGAAGCTAGGGCAAACTGGCAAAGCTTTACCGCCCCTGGAAATCCGGCATCCACGATCACCACCGGCTAAAAGGACAACGAGGAGTTTGCAAGTGAAGAAAGTAAAAAATGAGACACGGAAAATAATAAAAGGGATGGGAAGACCCCATCAAATGATACAAGGATGGAACCAAAACGGTAACATCGGACTAGGCCCCAATAGCATTACACTTGGAAATATGTCATACAACACCTAAAATATCTGAAATATCTAAATCAACTGGTCTACAAACATCAGAGCATCCGAAGAAGTATCATATAATGTGATTGCTTTCTTATGGATTGCACCAACTAGTGCTCTCCGTATAGCGATGGAAACATGTTGACTAAAATAAACTATACAGTAACCTAAAGAGAGTGATACCCCATGCCACCTAGTATGGTAGGCTCTCGCGCAATCTCTCACAAATACGTGAGGTTCCCTAAAGTAAAAGAATTATAAACTAAATCTGCTATTTGATTAGTACCTTCATAGCCTAAAAAAGGTCTATAACCTAAAGGAAAGTTTTGAATATGAACTGGTGAGGAAATAACTCCAAGTTTTCCAATATCAAGAATAGGGAATATCAAGACGTTTACCAATATGACGTTCCATTTGAGTACCAAAAATAGCAGATGGTTCTATACGAGCAATCATGTCCCCGACTTCTGTATGATCATCGGTAATAAATATTTCATCACAAAAATTTTGAACTTGTTCTCTAAACCATTCTTCATCATGTTTACAATAAGTTCCAGTACAACTAACACGAATTCCCATCTCACAAGCAAGAATTTTTGTAATTGAAGCAGCATGTGTTGCATCACCAAAAACGAACAGCTTTTTTTCCTGTTAAATTTTGACAATCAATTGATCTTGAAAACCAAGCAGCTTGCGAAATAAATCTAGTTTGCTCGTCAATATAAGGTTCAAAATCAAATTTTTTTCCTAATAAAATAGAAGACCATATATTAACTTATTTTTGTATTTGTCTAATACAATTAGCTATATCTACAATTCCCATAGGGGTTGTAGAAATATACGGCATTCCACATTCTTTTTCTAAATATAAAGCTGTCATTAATCCTATTTCACGACAAGGTACTAAATTAAACCAAGCTTTTGGCAATTCATGAAGATTTTCTACAAAGCCCCCTTCAAGGATTATTTGGTTAATCATAATTCCTAAATCTTGTAATAAACGTTTTAATTCACGACAATCATGTTGATTGTGAAAATCTAACGTAAATATACCAATAATATTTGCTGACGGTTTATCTGTGAAAGATAAGTTTAATTTTTCTTGTCTATGAGCTTTTTCTAAATAATAACGTACTACTTGTTCTAATGTTCTATCAGCAGCTTGAAGTTCATTAACTCGATAATGATTTACATATGCAAGAATTACATCAGAATCAAAACTCATAGAAGCTCTATTTACAAAATTTTGTAAATCTTCTTGCAAAATACTAGACGTACAAGTAGGAGTTAATACAATTAAATCAGGGTGTTCTTGTTTATCTTTTTTAGTTATATTATCAACTACTTTTTCTTGAGACCCACGAGCTAATACATGACAATCCACTACACTAGCAGTTTCAAGAGTAAAATCTCTTTCTCGCTCTAACATAGAACGCATAACATTAAAATAATCATCTCCTAAAGGAGCATGCATAATTGCATGTACATTTTTGAAAGAACTAGCTACGCGGAGAGTTCCAATATGAGCAGGAACAACATACATCCAATAAGCTAATTTCATAAATTAAAATCTCCTTACTTTCAATAATCTATTTTTATATTTTATAACATAGAAAAATCCCTTGCCATATTTATCTTATTGTCATAATATAAATAAAAAATACAATATATTAGATTATTTTTTTTTTTAGTAATTTTTAGAAAAATTGAAAAATATAAAAGAATTAATAAAAAGTCTGGGATGGAAGGATTCAAACCTCCGAATAACATGACCAAAACCTGCAGCCTTTACCACTTGGCGACGCCCCATATCTATTTCATTCTAGTAAATCATTAATTTTTTCATTTTGTCAATCTATTTACTAAAAATCAAAAAATTATAACGTTTTTAAAGCTAAAAGAACTTGTAGTAAGATGTACCTAAGAGTTTATACTATATATATTAAGTTTTTTTCTCTTCTATTTCACTTTTGTAATAATATTTATTGGAGAACTAAAAATTTAGTTATGTTTAATATTTATTTAGAAAATGCGTTTTATTTAAATGGTATCACTTTTGCTAAATTACCAGAAGCTTATTCGATTTTTGATCCAATTGTAGATGTAATGCCAATTATACCTTTGTTTTTTTTTCTTTTAGCCTTTGTATGGCAAGCTTCAGTAAGTTTTCGATAAATTCTCATTTTAAAATTTTTATTGTAATTTAAGTTTATAAAGCGGATGTTAAATTTCTATATAAAAGCATCCGCTTTATATTATATATAAAGTTAATTATTATTATTATTATTTTAGATTATTCAAAATCTATAAGACTTTTTTTAATTTATAGAAGAAATGTCAAAGTAGTAATCAATTGCAATAATTTAAAAAAATTGTTTTTATTTAAATTAGGTTACCAAGGGTTCAAATCCCTTTTTCTCCATTTAAATTTAATGAAATTTTTTTTGTAAAATTTGAATTTTATTCTATTCTATTTCTAGTAATGATCCTAGAGATTATGTCATGCTTACTCTTAAGCTGTTTGTTTATACAGTGGTTATTTTTTTTTGTTTATCTTTTTATTTTTGGATTTTTATCTAATGATCCAGGACGTAATCCTAGACATAAAGAATAAAACATTTAATTTTGAAACGGAGAGAAAGGATTCGAACCCTCGGTACAAAAAACTTGTACAACGGATTAGCAATCCGCCGCTTTCGTCCACTCGGCCATCTCTCCAAATATAAAAATATTTTTGTTTTTGAATAAAAACAAAAAATAGTATATTAATTATACTATAAAAAAATTTTATTTCAATCTTTTTTATTATTTTTATTCAAATTATTTAGTTTGATGGAATACACTATAATATATATATATTGAATAATATATTATTATTATATTTTTTTTTCAAAATTGAAAATTTAATGATTTAAATCATTTATTGATATAACTCTTTTACTAGTCTTAAAGCTAAAATTCTAGTTATAAATACACTTAAAAGAATTACAATAATTTGACTATCTGAAATTGAGGTCATTATTTTTTCTCCTTAATCGTTAAAAAATAAAAATATATATATAATACAATTAGCAATTAATCCAAAATTATATTTTTTTTTTTGATTAGTATGGAATTAATTTTGAATAAAAAATATCGTCTTGTTATTATTGTATTGATCTCAGTTTATTATCACTATAGATTTTTTTTATTGTTATTTTAAGTCTACGTTGATAAAAAAAAAATTTGTAAAAAATTTAAAATTGTAAAAAAGAGAGAGGTTAAACCAAAATAAATTTAGAAGTTATTGCACAGGTTACTGTTATGGCTTTAATAGTTGCATCAGGGCCATTAGTTATTGCTTTATTAGCAGCTCGTAAAGGTAATTTGTAATTTTTTTGATTTTCCATCTCCGGAATATGCGTTTTGCTAATAATTTAATTCCGGAGATGGAGTTAAATAGTAGAAGAAAAATCCAAAATATAGTATATAATAATTATACAGCGGGTATAGTTTAGTGGTAAAAGTGTGATTCGATAAAAAAAAAGGTTAAAGGATCATAATTTCTTTTTTATAACTTTATTTCTTAATAAAATTTTTAATTATTTATATTAATGTCTTATTAATAAAAGCATTATTTCTTAAAAAAAAACGAAATATCTCAAAATAAAAATGTTTGATTTACTAAAAATCTATGGAAAGAAATCAAAAATAAATTTTTTCATCATAACTAAATCTTCAATTATTTGAAAAATCCAATTTTTTGATGCAAAAATAGTTATTATTTAAGTAATTTTAGTTTGCTAAAATTATTAACATTACAAAAAACTTGGTGAAAATTTTTTTTCTAAAGATTAAAAACAAATAGAAATAGAGAACGAAGTAATTAGAAAGTTTTTAATTTAAACTTGTTTATTTTATCTTTCTAAAAGGATCATCTAATAAAGTGTTTTTTACATAAAAATGTAAAAAAAAAACAAACATAGATGTTATAAAAATTGGTAAGTAATTCAAAAAATACATGTATTTTTTGAATTACTTAGCGATTTTTATAAAGGAGCCGAATGAAAGTAAACTTTCACGTTCGGTTTTGAATTAGAGGCATTTTTTATTTTTAATAAATGTCGACTATAACCCTTAGCTTGGAAGGCTAAGGGTTATAGTCGACATTTATTAACCCTTAGCCTTCCAAGCTAACGGGTTCGATTCCCGCTACCCGCGTTTCTAAAAAAGAATTTGAAATGATAAACTCAAAAAAATTTATCATTTCAAAGCAAATTCAGCAAAAGCTTCCAATTCTGCAAATTGAGCTAATTCTAATTTTAATTTACCAGCTACTTGTTTCATAGCTTTAATTTGTGCAGCAGAACCAACTCTTGATACAGAAATACCTACATTAATTGCTGGACGAATTCCTGCATGAAATAAGTCGGCTGATAAAAAAATTTGTCCATGTGTAATAGAAATAACATTTGTTGGAATATAAGCTGAAACATCACCGGCTTGGGTTTCAACAATAGGTAAAGCAATCATACTACCTTCATCTAAGTTAGAGCTTAATTTAGCTGCTCTTTCTAAAAGACGAGAATGTAAGTAAAAAACATCTCCAGGATAAGCTTCCCTTCGTGGTGGTCTTCTTAATAAAAGTGACATATAACTCCAAAGCTAGAGGAACAAGAAAATGACCTCTCTATATACCCCTATATTTGGAGACCTTGGCTGCTGCCGTTCCACTCGCCGTCCATCCTTGAGAATGGATGATCACCCACTCTGAAACTGTGTCGTGAATAGGATGTGGTGGTTGCCCACCACATCCCTAAACTCATGGGTAACCACCACATCTGTCACAGTGACGTGGTCCTCCCAAACCAAGTGTAGGTCTGCACTAACCCTAGTCGATTGCACCCTAGTGAAGAAAGCACCAACCATTTTGTGGTAGCATAAAGCTCGCACCAAAGACATGCAGCCTGCTTTCTAACCAAGAGGTTTCTTTATATATATATGAAGGATATTTCATCACCCCACCATCTGTTGCACGGGTCAAGAGGTTAAAGTACGTTCTCAAGAACATATGAAGTTGAACCCTCTTAACACCTTTGAAAGAATGGATACCGCCATTATTTACGGAGTATGAAACGGAATATATACTTTGGACTTACATCCCATGTGTGTTATAAGTTGGGATCAGTACGCTTCATACTCAGTACATTGCAGAAAAAAGACATATAAACTATTTGGTTGAGTACATTGGCCAACATTACAACAATCTACAAATCAGAAGGGCTTTTTTAATCCAGACATATTTACTCTAGTAAAAACATAATAATCTTATAACATCTGAAAATGCCTAACGTCCAAATTAAGGAAGTCATATCAATATCACAAACTTAGCTTACTAACTATTTACGTCAAACATAAGACATAAATATGAAGAATTTTAACCATCAATTTTCTGAAACATGGAGTACTATCCCTCAAAAACCATGTGTGATGCGCAATATTCACAAACGCGCGGGACTGAACAACCCATGCAAGATGGGCGTGTATCACGGCAATTCAATAAACACCCATGCATATGCTCATCTAGCCCACGGTAGCGGCCTGGAATAAAGATGTTTCGCATTATTCCTTAGAGTTCCGTGTAAATCCTCTTGATATGTTCACATTTCCACAATTGAAGGGTTTGGTATTTGTAGAGATAGATGATGTCCATGGAGTGCAGATGCAAATGATTTGGAAGTTGGGGAACTCTACATGATCAGATAAACTGAAGCTTAGAAGGGTCAAAAAGGCAGAAGGTAAAAAGTAATCAGAACAAGCCATAATTGCTAGTCCTTCCGAGTAAATACAGTAGCTGAGCCAGTCTAACAAGCTTGGAAATATGGAAATTTGGAGTACTCTTTCGAGCTCTGAAACTTATAATTGCACAAATGTTCATTTGTCCTGATCTCGGGCGTGAAGGCCATGTCTATCCTGAGACAAACTGTGAGACAGTCTGTCAGTCCGTCCTTCACAATCTCATGGATGGCAGGGACCAAATCCCATGTTCTACAACTTGCACAACGGTATCTACAATACGACCACCAAAACTGTCTCGACAAAACTGTCCACATCCGTGACTTCTTGCGATATCTAAACCAACATGTCACAAACAATGACAATTCTAACTATAATTACATACTGCACAAATCCCGCCGGTAGCTCCAACTCTGTTGCCATCCAGCCTGAAATGATAAATAATCCGTGTTTTCCTAAATTCTCTCCAATTTTCCTCCGTATTTAAATCCTGCCTCGTTATCACTCACTCTCAGGATCATCTCGTGATGCTGGTTTATTGGCGCTTGGTCTCCTCTCATCCATCAGGCGAAGCCCCGGGCCGAAAACGTGAACCACTTCGTAAGTTATTTCACGTTGAACATGGAAGAAGTGGATAAACCAGCTGCCAGCATCACCTTCTCAACCGTGGCCGGAGCGTTCAGACTACAATATCCATTGACACCAAATTCTGTCCTGGCAGCTGCGAGGGCACGCCTTACAGCAAACAGGGCGCTGCAAATCGGAAGTCATTGTTAGTAATTTAGACTATACATGAATAAATGAGCACTACTAAGAGGCAAGACAGGAACAAACTGTCCAACGAGCAAGTCAGAAGACATACCTCGCTGCTAGACCATACGGAGGCTCCCCAGAAAACTGCAAGACAGAACGTCAGGGAATCGTTGCAGTTAGGGGCTTCAATTGGTCCGCCATTCTAGTATAGTGAGAAGCTGACTATTTCAAAGGTCTAGAAGCAGGTCGGAGACGATAGATTGGCTAGAATCAACAGAGATGATACACTGCCGAGTTCACTACGTCAGGGATAGGTGGGCAAAGGGAAGCCTATATATATATATATATATATTAGCGAAGAAAAACTCTCAGTCATCAGAACATCTGCGAGTGGCGAGGGTGCCCATAGATGTGTACCTTGGATCGCAAAACTCCGCTGGGGTTTCCGCTATTTTCGAGCAAAGAAGCCCTCAAGTCGAGAGGAATATCTTTGGAAGAGGGTGGCTTGTACTCCCAGGTACCGTCAGTCAAAAGCTGGAGACAACAAACTGCCGAATTTAGCACGCGCTTGATGATTCAAGGATCCTATTTTCTTCCAAGGAAAAATATTTTCATACCAAGAAATAAAGTATAAGCTTTTAGGTGAAGTACCTTCCCAGAGTCACGATCGAAGAGAAACTCTTCATGTAGAAAGTATCCAAGTCCCTGAACGTACGCTCCTTGTACCTGATAGCAACACAGAAATTTAAGGTTTTGGCATATCATTCATAAAGCCACAACATCCTAACTTCAAACAAATTCAGCTTCATGAGGTAGAAGTTTTCTTTTGATTATTATTGTGTCCATTTTTTAATATTGTGAACTTTGTTGCAACAGTTGATTAGGATGTCTTCCATATGTATCATCCCTCGTACTCATATTCAATCTCATGGATTACCCATAACTTCCTATCACTCCACTCACCCTAATGTGGGCTATGAGCATCAACACTTAAGTCAGAACTCTTTAGATACCACTCCCCCAATTTGAATTGAGACCAACTCGAAATTAAACTAGAGTGCTAACTCCACCCACACTTTTCAACAATCCAACACTCAAAAGATGTGATCAATACATGAGCAAGTGATCAATGGCAAGATGTGTACTCTGCCGGTGTTCTTTGCAGTCCGACTAGCAATATATACAGAGTTCATGACT